GATCGTAAACTTGTCGTTCAGCGTGCTAGTGTTGGTTCTGCAAAAAATACAGGTGTAGCGAGTGTTCTGCCTTCTTCTGTTCTTATTCCTTCTGGTAATGGTGAAATGATTCCCACTACTGTTCTTCAACTACTTAATATGGTCACCCCTGAAGAATTAGTAGACGATGATGAATATGAAGGTTCGTTAATGTTTTAACTATTATAATAATAATTTTTTTTTTTGTTTTTTATATGTAAAATTGATTTAAATGCTGATGTTTTAAACACTTTATTAATATTAGATATTGTTGATGATGTTCGTGAAGAATGCTCTAAATTCGGTCGTGTGATTGATATGAAGATTCCCAGACCTGGTAGTGCGTCAATATCGGGGCTCGGCAAAGTATGTTTTTTTTATTAATATTATGTCAATAATTTTATAATTTCTGTAGGTAAATTTCTTATTAAAAATTTATATAATTTTCAGATTTTCGTACGTTTTGAATCTATAGAAGCGGCTGGTGCAGCACTTCGAGCACTTGCTGGTCGAAAATTTGCAGAGCGCACTGTTTTGACATCATATATAGATGAAGATATGTATTTTGCAGAAGACTTTTAATTAGAGATGATGATCAGCTATGCTATACAAAATTTTATAATTGATTTTCATATCACGAGTTAGTGATCTGAGACACATTTTTTTTTTTTTTTTTAAGTAAAAAAAAATTTTTTTAAATATGAGGATCCGGTTATAATATGATCAATTATTTAGTCATTTAATTGTAATTTATCTCGGAGTTCTGTTCAAAAATAATCGATCATTGAACATTAAATAGATGTTTGATCGATTATTATCAATCATAAGTTTTTTTTACGCAGTGATTGTAGTGAGTTTGGACGAGGGTTCGGCTCGGTCACTAGCCGGCCGTAACCGGTCATTACCGATTATAACCGGCCATGACGGTTATAACCATAACCGTGTCAGAGGCATTTAAACTGTTTAGTAGTGTTGTCAACTATGAGTTAATAACCGAAAATAACGAAATAACCGACCGATTACCGACCATAACCAACCTGCGTAACCTATCCCTAGTTGGGATCAAGTTATAATAACGGTAAGATTAATCAATTTTAAACATGATAATTTGCTACGTACGTACGTACGTATGCAATCAAATAAAAGATCTTTACTATATATTAAGTATATATTTAAAATAATTTTAAATTTGAATATATATTTACTATATATATACTTAATTAATTTAAGTGCTCTATTTATTATTAATACGTATAAACTTTTCTAAACTTTAAAATAAGCTGTTCAAATTTAAGATTAAAATTCTAAATTAATAAAACTAGCAATGTATCTGGTTAAAACTGGTTTATACGTGACAATTTTTTATCACGTTTTCAATTGTTTTTGTCTTTGTTTATGGGATATTGTTCATACGTACAGGATGATTATTTCAGACTTTGAGTTGTAAAGTTTCATAGTAATGCTATTATTATCGTTATCGTTATATATTTTTAATTCCAATTTAATTTAGTTTTTAGCCATAACGATTTTTGATTTTGATTTCAATTAACCAATAATGTTTTTGCAATATCACGGGAATAATCTACAAAAATCATCCAATCGCCGCTATACTGATGGATAGTCAATCAATATTGATATTTATTTTTGTAATTGTTAAAAGAATCAATAGAATCACAAGTATTATCGTTATTGTCTAAAATGCCACGAAAACGTAAAGAATTAGAGACGTGCGGAAATCCTTTATATTTGAAATGGCTGGGCGAATGGATGGAAAGCGCTAGTGCCGCTAATAATAAAGCTTACTATACATATAAAAAGGTTTATACTTTATATCCTTTCTTCTTTTTCTTGAAGAAACAAAATTTCACAGACTCGCTTATAGGCATATGACTCGATGTCAAAATATCCGTTACCATTTCAACACCCGGCTGAAGCGGCTATTCTAAGCGGTATTGGACCTGGAATTTGTCAAAGATTGGAAATGAGATTAAAACAACATTGTGAAGAAACTGGTCAGCCCCCTCCACAACGTCCTGGTATGATAATTGTCTTTTACTTTAAGAACCATTTAGAATCGTTCAAATAATTTGAATGGTCCGATTTTAGATGAATTGCCATCATCATCATCATCATCAAAATCAAAAAAAACAAATCAGAATTCACAAGACAGCTTAGGTTACAGTGATGAACCCGAACCTAAAAGGCAGAAGACTACTACCGCTTCCAAAGTCTATGTTCCTAAATATCGGTCAGGTGCCTATGCAATAATGTTAGCACTTTATAAATCATCCGAGATAGATTCAAATCCCAATATGACAAAGGCAGATCTCATTAAAGAAGCACAACGATATTGTGATGCCTCTTTTGATATACCAAGTGGCAAGCAAAAATTTTATACAGCATGGAATTCCATGAAAACTTTACTTGACAAAAATTATGTTTATAAAAATGATTATCCTTCAAGGTTTTCATTAACAGAATCTGGTCTACTGGTTGCTCGACAAATGGTGGAAACAGCCAATTTACAAGGAAACAATCCATTTTCAAACTTTCCTTCAACTCAGCCTGCAAATTTGGACGATACTGTAGTACATACTACCAGTTTACAAGGAAACAATTCATTTTCAAACTTTCCCTCAATCCAGCCTGCAAATTTGGATAATACTACAGTACATACCGTATTACCAACAAAAATTGAAAATCATACAGTAGAAAAAAAACCAATTATTATTGATTTGAGGGAAAGTTCTGATGAAGAGTGTTATATTCAGAAGGAATCTAAACTTCCTTCGAATGATTCATCTGGCTTTAAACCTTTATACAAAAGCTCCTCTTCGGACATTCACTCAGATCAGGCTGTAACGTTAGATAACACTACAGTATACAATGTATTACCCACCAATATTAAAAATCATACCATAGAAAAAACCCCGGTTATTATTAATTTAGAGGAGAGTTCAGATGAAGAATTTTGCATTCCAAAGGAATTTAAGCCTTTCTTGAATGACATAGCTAAATCTAAACATTCATGCGATCAAGTTGATAATAATAAACATGCACAATCAGTCCCGACTACAATGTCTTTTGATTCAAATTCATCCACTTCAACTGTTTTAACCAATTTTAATCCTATAGTGTGGGAATCTGGTACATTTGAAATAATCTTGGTTTTGGATACGCGGGAAGTAAAATTAAAGAAAGATCGTGACTATATTAAAGATACATTGCAAGAGAAGGGTGTTCCTATATCTGTAAGGAATTTAGAGCTTGGAGATGTTATTTGGGTAGCTCGAAAAAATACAACTTCGCCAATGGAAGAGCTTGTATTGGACTACATTTTGGAAAGAAAACGAATGGATGATTTGGTTGGAAGCATAAAAGATGGTCGATTTAGAGAACAAAAGGTTTGATCGTTGTTATTGAATTATATTAGTCACAAGTTGTACAATGATGTGATGGGATGTAGTAATTTTTTTCTTGTACAGTTTCGGCTTTCAAAATCTGGAGCAAGTCAAATAATTTATTTAATTGAAGATTATAATCTCGAAGAAGTAGCAGAATTTGGAATAGATGCCATTAAAACTGCTATCTCATCAATACAAATGTTAAACGGTTATTTTTTGAAACGGACTGCTACAATTGATCAAAGCATTGATTACTTGGTTAGAATGACTAGAATGCTCAAGGCTATGTATGAGGTTCGTGGACATCATCAAGTGGATCGTTCTGTTTTTGAATTTGTTACGAGATAAATATATATTTTGTTGATTTTTTAGAATACTACGTTATACGCTATTCCCGATAATATGATTTACCGAACTACTTTCTTGGACATGAAAAAGAATTTGGCTACATTGCATCCAGATCGTACCTATCTTGTCACATATTCTTCATACTCTGATCTTAATAGTAAAAGTAAACCTTTAACGTTGAGAGATACATTTGTAAGGATGCTCATGACTATTAGAGGAATCAGTGTTGACAAGGCAGCAGAAATAATTAAGAATTACCCAACTCCGCGAAAGTTGGTTGAAGAGTTTGATTCTTTGACTAATGAGGATGACAAAAGAAAAATGGTTATGAATGCTTGTAGTGGTATTATTCGTAGAAAAAAGATTGGACCAGCATTGAGTGTTAAAATATATCAAGTTTGGTGTGCAAATAATTACCATTAGCATATGGGTCAGTACACAGCAAAACGAGGCTTAGAGACATTTTGTTCAAGGTCGAGATTTTTATCAGAATATATTTCTAAATATGTGATTTATTCACAGTAAATTTTTTAGCTCGCATTAGCATAATAAAATTTTGTACAATTTTATACGCAGTATTTTTTATCTATATATTATATTTAAAGTTTTAATTGATAAATATTGATATATACAAATAAAAAATTCGTCCCAAAGCCCCTTTTTGCTGTGTAATGACCCATATAATATTGAATCATGTGCCTGATAAGCCGTTTCCTTAAAGTGAGATTTCGGAAATCAAGTTTTGCATATTGTGCAGCACTCATTTCTACACGGCCGTCCTAATTTGAATTTCTGTGCCGTACTACTTTCTATATACCCAATTTATAGGCGAGCTGGGATCTACAAATTTGATTAAAGGTACTGTACATACAGTACCCAATTTGCAAATTGCTGTTCGTAGCTAAAAAATATTGCATTTCGCAAAGATCGTGGATAAAAAATAACGAATAGAGTAATAACATAATAATATAGTATGTATGGTATATAATTTATACTGTATACTATGCTTAATTAAGGGAATTTGTCTATTGCACCATTGATTTTCAAATAAAATGAAAATTATTTATATACGCCTGAACTAAGCCGTTTAAACAAAACATAAAATTAATCTAAGCCTCTCTGAGATATATTAGTAGAAAAGAACTTTGGCATATAACTTTGAGCATCATATAAATTATGCAAATCAACTCAAAACTTAAACTTCAATTTATTCATAAACAAGAAAATTTGTCTATAACTCGTACTGTAATTAATAACGATTAGTTAATAATAATTAATCATTTAATAATTATTATAATAATTATAATAATTATAATAATTATAATTTTAATTTTAAAAATGAAGTTGATAATTACGAATCTTTTAAATATCCTAATCTCTTGCATTTTAACATTGCATGTATTATTTTCTATATTTGTAATTGCTTATCTTTTTAAAGTTTATAACAAATACTTTTCAAAATCTGTTAATGAATCTATTAATGAAAAAAACAATTTAAACCGAAACAGTCGAAAGAAAATGTTCAAGATAATAATTTTATAAATAAGATTTTATTAAAACTTTTTGGAAAGCATTCTGTAATGAAAATAAAAGAATATATTGCTTTCTCGAGCAAAAAATTTGCTATTTAGTTAAATTTTTAAATCTTTTATTAATTTATTCATGGATCTAGTTTAAAATAATATAATAATTTAATTTATTAGATAGTTTAGGTTTGTTCACAAACCTACTTTTTTCCTTTGAATATTTCGAATTAAGAAAAAAACACCAGAATTTTATAGCTTATATAACTCTATTTTTAATTACTGTAAAATTTGCGATTAAAAATATTATATCGATGTATATAAGCATATATGTATAAAGCAGTGTAATATTTTATTTTAATTTATATTAAATGAATTCTATATTTACGAATATCTTCTAATTAAGTTGTGTAAAGTCATAAAATTCCAGTTCACTATTATTCCACTGTTATTCCACTGTTATAAGAGGATGCCAAAACTTTGAGATAAACAATGTCATATTGTATTGAAGGAATTATTATCACTTAGGTTCTATGACCATATATTAAAAAAAGTTGCGATGATGCATTATGTAGAAGTTACGTGGCATGATAAATAACTCTGTTTAGCATGCAGATTTAAGTTTGCATTAACATTAGAGCACTAAAATTTTTACACATAAAATTTTTTTTTATACAAATAAGAATAATGAATGTACAGTTAAATAAGAAACAGAATAATCCTGTAACATGGCTATTAATGAACCCATAATTCAAGGGTCACATGTTAAAATCTATTGCAGATAATTAAATATTAAGTGCTATTGTATAATTCGAACTTCGAGAGGACTGCTCTGACTAATTCGATTCAAGTATATGCACAGTGTATAAAAATTAAAGAACAATTAGATGTGTATTTAATTAAAAATTATACCATTTAGCATGTGTACTGTGAACTCAACTGGTCTTTTCGGAAAACCAAATTCAGACAAACAATCTATTGAAAGAAGTGCTTAGATTTGGTGAGTAGATAACTTAAGACTTCGATTGCCAATTCTTTGTAGTGGTGTCTACAATAAGCACATGAGTACTGAGCAAAGATAGTTTTACTATTGCTGTAGAATAACGAAGGTTTTGATATGTCACATTACTTTAGATACAACTTTTATGTTTAAGTCGAGGCATGCTTTCATTTTTGGACAAAAGTAATTTTTATTTATGACCCACTACATTGTCGAAAGGTCTTTGTCCTCATATTCATTATATTTTGCTCTATATTCATTTTATTCCTGGGAAACAAAAGATCTTTGTAGCCATTTCTATTGAATCTAGGTGTTGTACAATAAAGTGTAGTTTCTTCTCATTAGTTTATTATGATTACGGATTACATACAATGTTGAGCATAAATGACTTTAATCAGCGCCTTCATAAATGGTAATTTCTATGTTAACTATAGTATAAAGCTTTTGTGTAGGGAGAAAGCCAACCGTATATAATTAGACCTCGAACTATATTAGTTCTCAAAAATTAACTTTATAACTTGACTTCCATGATTCTGAGCCATGCTTAATCATATTCAATCATTGCATCATATAACAATGTTATTTGACTTTTTTATATTTACATGACAGCACATGCCCGATGGGTACTGTATGCCAAAAACCCTTACTATTAGATAATTTAACAGTATTTTTATTTGTAATGTGATTTTTGCCCATGACTTAATTAATACATTAATTAATTATAACATTTTATGTGAAATTTCTAATTTTTATTCTTTCGCGATGAGATCATAGGGCCAGACTTCAGCTGAGTCTTTAGGCAATTCTTTGGCTGAGTCTTTAGACAAGTCTTCAGCCGAGTCTTCAGCTGAGTTCTCAGCTGAGTCTTCGATTTCAATGATTCTTTTGATTTCAGGATGCAAATCTCGTAAAATTTGACTTTTTTGTTCATCTTTAAGATTTTTTACATATTTTTTAAGTTCATAAATTGAAACATCATAATATCTAAATATTTAAATTATATGTTAGTAGATACATATATAATATTTGCAATATAAATAAATCAAAATAATTACAAAATTTCTGGAAACCAGTTCATCTTTCTTCTTTGGTGGGGAAGCATCCAAAAGAGTTCAATTTTGGCTAATATCTAGTAATAATAATTATTATTTTAATATATTCATAATATATTCATAAAATACAATCAAAAAATTTACCTCTCCTCTTAACTGTAAAAAAGATTCTTCATTATTTGTTTGATCAATAGCATTTCCAAGTAATGTAATAAGTAGATTCAATAAATAGATTGTTGTAAAAAATGAAAATATAACTAATAAAAATGTTAAAGTCAAATTATTGACTAAGCCCCATGAAGTAACCGCACTAGTATCGCCTAAAAACAAAATTATTAATATTTTTTTGATAGAAAATTTGGTCAAATTATTATTATATAATACCTATTAGCATAAAGTATACTGCTAAAATAGAAGTACTAAGCGTTGTAAATAAATTTATATTTTCATTAGGTGATTCAATAAGTGTTGATTCTCCAATAGTGCTATTAGATGAAATAATTTTATATTGTGAAACAAGATTCCAAGGATTATTAGCATCGTCAGTATTACTTGGTTGATCATAAGAATATTCACTAGTAGGTATTAATAAAAGATGTAAAGAATGGGTAAAGGCTAAAACCATAAAACCCAAAACAACAAGAAATGAAAATACTTGTTGTGCTACTCCGATCATAATTGCAAAATATGTTCCAAAATATTCCAATGCACAGAAAAATAATAAAAATTTAATTTCAAGTAAAAATGAAGAAATAGTCACAATCCATGTATACGGTTTTTCATCATGTAACCATATAAATGAAGTTATTGTTGGAGCTAGTATTGCGGCAAGATCTATAAATAAAATTATAGTAAATTATATTATAATAAATTATTTAATTTAATGTCATAATATAGAATATTGAATTATTAAATTAAATATATTTACCAATCCAATTCCAAGGGCTAGCAATAAAAAATATTGGCTTATAGATAAATTGACGAGCTTCAAAAATAAGATGAATAAATCCAAAAAAAATAGTTGCTATCAAAAGAATTGCTTGATAATTCCAAGAAATTGTACTTTCTGGAATTGTTGAAACTATTAAAAAACAGAACATGAAAATTGAATAAATTATCCAAATTATATAATAATATCGTCTTCCATAGGTATTCCATTTGAATTTAATAAGAGCTTTAATATTCCACCACTTAAAATAATCAGGTGCATCAAGTGAAGTAAAGGGAATATCAGGTAAATAAAATAATTCAAAGTAAGAATAATCTTTAGAATATATAGCAAAATTCAATAAAGGAATCATTAAGTATACATTTTTTTGTGAAGATTTAGCAAAATAAGATGAATAAAACAAGTAAGGAGATGATAAAATTTTATAAATTATAGGATGTATATTTTCTAAAAGGCGCCATTTTTCAGAAATCCAA